TCCCTGCAACTTGGGAGGCTGAGGACAAGAGGATCACAAGTTCAAAGCCAGCCTCAGTAATTTAGTGAGGTCCTAAGCAACTCAGGGAGACTCTGAGTTATAAAATATAAAAAGGGCTGGGGATGTGGCTCCGTGGTACAGTGCCCCTGGGTTCAATCCCTGGTACCAAAATAATAATAAAAAATAAAATAAGAAGGGGGTTGGGGATGTAGCTCAATGATAAAATGCCCTGGGTTCAATCCCTAATATCAAAAAAAAAAAAAAAAAAAAAAAAGGAAGGAGTGGAGAACACAGAGAGGTGAAGCAGACAAAAGACTGAGAAATTCCTGTTTTATGTGGTAAGAGGTAAGCTTTGGAAAAGTAGTTTGGGCAGAACAAGAGCCAGATCAAGACGGGCTAAGGAATGACTGAGAGATGAGGAAGTGGGGACGGGAAATTGGTACTGTTTCTGGAAATTTGGGGAGTCTGTTATAGAGAAACACACAGCAAAGTAGGGACTCATAGTGGGGAGAGACTTTATAAGGAAAAATGATTGAGAGATGTTACTGAAGAAGATGCAAATGACTCAAGCCTGCAACACTTTTGCAGGGAGTGAGGTGGGGGTGTGGGTACCAGGAACTGTGTGCTCTACCACTGAACTAGTTTCAGATTTTTTTTTTAATTTTGGGACAGGGTTACCCAAGCTGGTTTTGAATTTGTGATCCTTCCACCTCAGCCTTCAGAGCTGCTAGGATTACAGGTGTGTGCCACCATATCAGGCCACTTTTAGTTATATACTGAGGTTCTAAGTAAATAATCTCAAGAATCAAGTAACTAGGGGCTAGGAATATAGTTCAGTGTTAGAGCACTTGCCAAGAGACAAGAGCAAAGATATGCAAAAGCCCCTAGCATCCTACAGTAAGGGAGAATTAAGTATCTAGAAGAGATTTACTTCAGCCCAGAAAAAGGAGATTCATCACTTGTCATAAGGGAGAATGAAAGGACATATCGCGATATAGTTTTGTCTGTGGTGGTTGAAATTCATGCTTGATCACATTAATTTTTTTAAGTAGAAGATAAAGTTGTCTGGGGATGGTAGGCAGGAGATCTTGAGATGTGAGGGTTTAAGCTAGTTGCCCTGGAGGACAGGAAAGGGAACTGAGCAGGGAAGCACAGGAGGAATACAGAGCAGCACTGAAGGTCCAGATATATTTGTAGCTCTTCATATTTAGTTGCCCATCCCCACCCCCAGTACTAGGGATTGAACCCAGAATTTCATACATTCTAAGTAAGTGTTCTACCACTGAGCTACATTCAGTGGTATGTATGTGGCCCTTTGTTTTACTTTTGAGCCAGGGTCTTACTAAGTTGCTGAGGCTGGCCTAGAACTTGTGGTCCTCCTGCCTTGGCCTCTCAGTTGCTAGGATTACAGGTGTGTACCACCCCACCCAGCTTGCTCTAGTTTTTTGGTTATATATTTTTCTCTATCTCAGAAGCTTTGATTGATGAGCAGAGAAAATAGTGGTAGATAATGTTGGAACAGAATTGAGCTGTTAGCAGGGGAGGAATAAAGACACGTTGGTGGGGGGAAGGAATTGACTCTGGAACTAAGATGATGGGGTCTGGGTAAAAGATTAAGAGAAATTTTTTGTTAAAAATTATAACCATCCTAGGGCTGGGGATGTGGCTCAAGCGGTAGCGTGCTCGCCTGGCAGGCGTTCGGCCAGGGTTCGATCCTCAGCACCACATACAAACAACGATGTTGTGTCCGCCGAGAAATAGAAAATAAATATAAAAAATTCTCTCTCTCTCTCTCTCTCTCTTTAAAAAAAAATTATAACCATCCTAGATATCCACCAACCTAGATATCTGGAATACTTGACAAACTATAGGATAATATATGAAAAATAATGTGGTTTTTCTTTTAGAACTGAACTCAGGGGCACTTAACMACTGAGCCACATCCCCAGCCCTTTTTAAAAATATTTTATTAGAGACAGGGTCTTACTGAGTTGCTTAAGGCTTTGATAAGTTGCTGAGGCTGAGTTTGAACTCATGATCTTCCTGCCTCAGCCTCCTGAGTCTCTGGGATAATAGGCGTGCGCCACCATGCCCAGCAATGTGGTTTTTTTTTGGAGGGGGGGTACCTGGGATTGAATTCTGGGGCACTCAACCACTGAGCCACATCCTCAGCCCTATTTTGTATTTTATTCACAGATAGGGTCTCTTGAGTGGCTTAGCGCCTTGCTTTTGCTGAGGCAGGCTTTGAACTTGAAATCCTCCTGTCTCAGCCTCCCAAGCTGCTGGGATTACAGGCGTGCGCCCCTGCGCCTGGTTTATATATGTTTTAATGAGGTAAGTCAGTGTACGCTGACATGAAAATATTTCTAGGATTTGTCGCGTGGAAAATAAAATTGATGTGAATATGTAGAAAAACATCTGGAAGGATATATACCATGCTGTTAAATGCCATTATATGCAACAGTGATCGAGAAGAGTGATAAAGAAGATTTGCAACAACACATGGAGTCATCATTGAATTTATTTTATTTTAAAGGTATCTATGTACACTGAGTAAATACACACTGGGGTTTGTGCAGTTTGGTTTGTTTTTCCACACTGGCATGCAACATTTTGGCAGATGTGAGTGGGCAAGCCAGGTACCCCTTGTGATGAGCCTGGCTGTCTGTAAGGGATGTGGTGAATGTAGGGAACAGGAAGAGGCGGAGGAGGATACAGTGTGAAGCTTCTGGTGAAAGTTGTGCATGTGTTCTTATTTGTATAAGTGAATTATATTTCCCTTACATCTTGCTAAAGAGAAGGCTGCTCCCCTGTGTCACCTCTCTTTTTATCTGCCCTACACCTTCACATCTTTTTAAAGTGTGTTCTTTTAAAGAATCATTTGGTAGCAAAATTACATAAAATCCCCTCGATTCTAAGGTTTCCTGCTGGCAAATACTAAGTCCACGGGTGTTCTGGTAACTTCCTTCCTCTCTGACTGGGTCTGGGACAGCATGGCTCATCTACCTTACCCCATTTACCCCATCCCTCTTTTCTATGAGTTATAGGTTTGGTGTAGGGAATCCAGATTGTACCCCCTTCTTCAGAGCAGTGGTTTTCAAACCACTCTATAGAACCCTTGGGATCTCTTAGGGCTCTTCCAGGGCTCTTCAACTAATGAAGCATTTTCCACCAAAAAGCAAAAGAAAGAGAAAAGAAAATGCAAACTACCCAGGTCTGCATTATTTCCCTTCCCACCCCCCTTTATTTTTATTAATTAATTAATTTATGTATTTGCAGTGCTGGAAATTGAACCTAGAGCTTTGCGCGTGCTAGGCAAGCTCTACCACTGAGCTACACCCCTAGTCTATGTTATTTTTTACATTGGAGTTCTACATAAGATTTATTTTGAAAAGTGTTTGAAAATCACCAGTTTGGATTTATTTCAGACCCCTCTGATTTTGTCCTTAACTGCTAAGATTGCTCAACAGGTAAAGGGAGCAAGGATTCTTTCCTTTGAAGGACTCACAAGCCCCCATATCCTGTATTTACCAGCTGGCAATCATGCTGAACCTCTTTCCCAACTTAGAAAAAGCCAGATGATGGGCATCCCTGATGCTGAAGGTTCCTATCTTCCATCCATAAAAAGGTAAAATTATCTGGACTCCAGACTTTACTTCTTGGTTTGGGCTGGCTAGTGACCTTCATCCCAAAAGTTACCTGAAAAAATACCTTAGCACCATGTGGAAGGAAAGGATAATCTGGAACTCAAGCAACCATCTTCTTAACTGTGGGAGAGGGGGCACATGGGCTCAGAATGGCTGGGGGAAGAGCCCTGGGTCAAGCCCCCAGGCTCTGCCACCTCTGGAAAATCTGCCCTGCCCCTTTCCCTAAAGTGCACTTTATACCACATAGGGACATTATAGAAGGAACTCTTTGTGGGGAACAACTTATAGTGGAGGAAAGCCAGGCTCCAGTTTGAAATGAAGGCATCTGAAACAGCTATTTTGCCAATGAACTGGAAGCCCCCAAACCAAAAGGTAGAGATGGGAAGAACTTGTAGCCCAATATGGGAAAAAGGAATCCAGTTCATCGCTTCAACCTGAGGACATTGTGATGCAAATCACTTAGCAATTTTCCACCCTGTTCAATCCTCAAACCCAAGGAATCAGTCATTCTGACTATACTTGCCTATAACTATCACCACAGAAAGATGAGCAGCTATTTGACAGACTGTGGGGAAGTGATCTGCCTCCTCAATTTTTTAAAAAATATTTGTTTTTTAGTTGTAGATGGATACAATACCTTTATTTACTTTTACGTGGTACTGAGGATTGAACCCAGGGCCTTGCACGTGCTAGGCAAGCACTCTACCACTGAGCCATAACCCCAGCTGGCCTCCTTAGCTTTTGAGAATATTTTTAACTTTGAGTTATGGTCATCAGGGGTGGAGAGTATCAAAAGGGGTTTGGACAAGAAAAGGAAAAGGTTCCTTGGCAAGCCATGGTCTCCATCTGGGAAAAATAGAGGGAGGCAAAAGGCAGACTTTGTAGGACAGAGGTAAACATCTGGAATCTCTTGATTTAGGTGAGGGCAATATTAAGAAAATTATATGTAGAATTTAGCAGCCCTTCCATTTTACCCTCCCCTGTGCTATCCATAAAAGAGAAGGGAGGAAGAGCCTATTTCTCTGTCGTCTTAGGATGCTAAGACATTCTTCTGCTTAAGGCTTTATATGTACGTGTATGTGTGAGTAGTGTGTGAATATGTGTGTATGTGTGCATGCACACATGTGTTTGTGAGAGAAAAGGATCACAGCCCTCTAGCTCCCATTTCTCATTTTATCATCTCTATGTTCTCTGCTCAGTGATTAACACCACTCAGTGTGAGACGAGTATATGAGAAAGAAGAAAACATTCCCCCGCCTCCCTATTGCCCCAAATAAGGAGGATAGACTATGCTTAGAAATTGCTAAATACATCATTAGATATTTAGAGAGTGGGACAGAGAGAAGAGAGACATAGCAGCAGCTTCCAATATATAGATACAGAGTACAAAGAGATACATAGTAAGTGAGAGAAGACATCAAACAGTACAGTCCAACAACAGGGGTTGGGAGGGGAGTTAGTATCAGAGACCACAGGTTTGCAGCATGCTGAGAGAAGAGGCCTCAGTCCCTCTTAGAAACTGGGGAAGAAAGAGAAAGAGTATGTGAGGAACCAGCCTGCAGCCCAGCAGCTGTGGAGGAACAGGTGACATTTGTACATACTTTGGTTTATAGTACAGTTCCTTTAATAACAATTATCTAAGCATTCTCCAGCCCCTGCTTCACCACCCTGGACCCTCCCTAAGTCCTCCTTCCCTGTTCCTATGTCTCCACTTTTCATGTCTTTCTGCCTATGTGTGCCTAGCCTGCTATCCTGGAAAACCCCTAGAGAGGATTCAGCTTGGACACAGCCCAGGAAGAAACTGGCCATGTTCTCTCATTTCTAATTCTGTAAGGATCCAAATGGATGACAAAACTGTATCCTAGTGCCCAGTTCTGGGCCATAAAGCAACTGGATAAGAAGCCTGGTGATACACAAAAACCAGGAAGGTGCCTATGCTAGAGACAGGGTCAGATTTATGGGACATTTTTAAAGATTTTTGGTAGTATGTATAGATATGAGGAGATGTCATGGGTGTGGGAGTAAATCAAACATTGCCTTTACTGAAGATGTCTTAGTTTAGAAAATCTCTTTCCATCCAAGATTACTTTAGAGTGGAGGTAGAGGGAGGATTGAGATGATCTCCCAAGATTGCCTATTATCTAAGATCTATGACCAGTGGGGGCTCTACATGGACAGCAGTCCTTGCTCATCTCATCTTCTGACAYGCAGCAATGACCCCTAGTGGCATAAAGCAGTACTGTGGATGCTATTATAGCCAAAGGAAAAAGCATTCAGTTCCAGAAAGGTCAGTGTTCATACCACACAAAGCAGCTGGGCTGATGTAGCCCCAGCAGGGGAAAACAGGAGTTGAGAGGTCACTATATAGCAAATGTTTTGAGATGGTTAAAGAAATAAAAGGAGAACTAGAGGCTGTGGACAAGAAAGGAAGCCATCTGAGGCCAGTGCTACCTGAAAGTGCGGGTTATATAGCCATTGGTGTGGGAGGTTAGCTGGCTGCCGTCTCTTGGTGGAGAGGGAAGAGCTTCGCCTGGTCCTCAGCCTCATAGCCGCAGGGCAGGTCACTCCTGGAAGAATAGAGACACCACAGTCAGCTCCATATAAATGAAAATATTCCTGTTGTGGCCAGTTCTCTGATAGCATTCCTGTGAGATACTGGCAAGGGCAGGTCTACTCAGGCTTTACAGGAWCACAGGGAAAAGCAGGGCTAGAGATATGTAAATGACTTGCCCAAGGTCACAAAGTTCCCGGTGATGGGCGAGACCACATCATCAGATGTCCACAGCCCCATAACTAGTGTGGGGAGAGGCCATAGAAGGGACTAGAAGAGGGGAGTGAGTGTTCTGCACTGAGGTAAGAGGAATGCCTGGGATCTCCCCACATCCAGGACAAGAATGATCTTCATTTCCTCCTCCCCTCCCCTCAAGGCTCCAGAGAAGCTCTAAGTAGGACAGAGGGAAGTTTAGTAATTTCTTTTGGTGCCACTCAGAACCCAAGGGTAGTGGGGCCTGGCATACCTATTGTCGTTGATATCTGTAGCATTTCCTGAACAGATCAGCATTGAGAACACAGGGTTAAAAGAAGAAGAAAGGATACTGGGTATTAGGAATGTCTCCCCAGACTCTCTCCCATCCTAATCCCTTAGAGGAAAAGGTAAATTAGGACATTCTATCCTCAGCCACCCCAAACTGCACCATTTTTTTTGTTTGAGAAGAGAAGGGGACAAGTAGGAAAGGTGGAGATAGGCACAGTCAATAATAGGAGGAATCCACTTCTAAGAAAGAACTGAAATCTGAAGAGGTGTGTGCGTGCGTGTGTGTGTGTGTGTGTGTGTGTGTGTGTGTGTGCATGCACGCACGTCTGTGCGCACATATATATTTTTTTGGTAATGCTAGGGATTGAACCCAAAACCTCATGCATGCTAAGCAGGTAAGAGCTCTTACCACTGAGCTACATCTCCAGTCATATGTATCTTTTTATTTAACGTCCAACACATGAGAAAGGTTTAGTTAGTGTTCATTGTAAAATGGGGTAACTTACTTTTCTCATACCTTCAAAATTTCACTGGGGATTCCAAAGATCACTTACCATTGTCCATGTTGGCCTTCTGATAGGAAGCCAAGGGGCCACCAGAAGATGTGGCTCCACTGCTGGTACAGGAGTTAGCAAAGCTGGGTATAAGAGAGAGATGCACCCATTGGGTTGGCAACTACCCTCTACTATTCTTTTTTTTTTTTTTTTTTTTTACTAAGCATTAAACCCAGAGATGCTTTACCAGTGAGTTACATCCCCAGACCTTTTCATTTATTATTTTTCGACAGGATCTCACTAAGTTGCTAAAGGTCTTACTAAGTTGCTGAGGCTGGCCTCAAATTTGGGATCTTCCTGCCTCGGCCTCCCAAGTCATACCCTCCACTATTTGTGGATCACTAATCCACATTTACCCTCAGCCAAAAGCTACAAAGCTACACAACCCTCCCACCTCTTGAGAACAGAGGACAATAAACAGAGCAGGCAGAGAGGGCACAGTCCCACCTTCTAATACCTATGATTAGACTGAGAAAGATTTAGAAATTAAGATACTTAGGAAAATAATTTTCAACTAATAATTGGCCCAATCCCATGCCTTCCAGGGTTAAGAGAGCTTTAGGTTGAGACTCCAGCCCACATCCATGGTCACTCACTACACATCTGAGGTGGAACTAGGTGTGGCCTGCAGGTACAAATTCTGATAGTTCTGGAAGAGGCTGTTGGTGTAACTGATGCACTCAGGGCTCCGGGTGCCATAGGGGTTGGTGGGAGAGGATGCTGGATAGTGGCCAGGCCGCACAGGTTTGGCTGTGAAGAGAGGAAATGACCATGAGGTTGCTGTTACCCTGGTTCTTGAAGTCATTTTGCTGGGACTAAACCAAGTTGCTTGTAACATAATTCATCACTTATTTCTTTTTGGGGAGTGGCCAAAGTTAGGGTCCAGAAACAATACTCTAGCTGCTTGGCACATAGGAATTTTCTGAATTTGCTTCAGGTTGTATTCCCAGCACTCATGATGACATCTACTCACCAATCTGGGCAGAATGGCCCCTCTTTCCAGAGCTCTTGTACCGAACAGCTTCCTTGATGCGGTCTACCTCCTGCTGGTACCGGCGCTTGTCCTTCATGGCGCCCTCCTTGGCCTCCTTCAGTGCACCCTCCAGGGCCTTAACTCTCTCAGCCGTAGCCCTAAGTCGTTTTTCCAATTTAGGAAGCTCACAACGCAGATCTGCATTGTCACGTACCAGCTGTGGGGTGAGCCAAAGGGAAGAGGCCAAAATAAAGGGGAGTGACCCAAAATTGAGTCACCCAGTGGTGTGTGGGGTGAGGGGTAGGGAAAGAGAATAAAGAAAAATAAAGAGTCAAAAAGCCTTATTCCCTTTATGTAATGTGCTATTCTATCCAGTTCTTTCCTTCATACATCATTTTCTAGGCAGCAAAACTTGGCATCTCTACTATGGCCCAGAACTCTGCCTAACCTGGACACTCCCCTCCACCATATCTCATAGTTTATGCCAGATCAACAGCTTCAGGGCCCCCATGGGGATGAGGTACCCCCTTCCCCAGAGATGGATGTGTGGGCATGCAAAAAGCAAGGCAGCAAGAGCATGGCCACAGTCTGGAGAATGGGTGCAGGCAGTTGCAGTGCAGAGCAGGGGCAGAAGCTGGAATTCAGGAGTCTCCACACACATCCATATACACATGGTGACCCATAGGAAGGAAAGAAAATGTTTGAGGTCTCACAAACATTTGTGCTTATTCCCTTCATGTTCAAGAACTTTCTGGGTTGTCCCTCCCCCTATTTACATTAAGCTACACTGTGATAGCAACCACTTTGCAGCCAAAAAAGACTCCCTAATCTTTCCACACAGTGACTGGGGGCACTACAGACTGCTAAAGGAGCAGGGCCTTGTAGGATATCAGGCAAGTTGGCATAGCAGGGAACACTGAGAGTACCGGGGAAGAGCTAGAACCTTCCATGAAGCTTTAATATGGACAATTTAAGGATTATAATCAATGTTTTGTTGTGATAATACTTTAGCTTAATTGGCACAATGGCTGTGGTCCTGGCGATTAAGATTCTGAGAAGTTTTTTACATCTTTCTCTTTTTTCTCAATAGACTCTTGTCTATTGAGGTAGGATACTGTGGTAAGTTCTCTGTTCTTCAGGGGAGCAGTGTTTGATCTTTAGGACTTAGAAAAGAGGCAGAAGTGTCAATGAGGGAAAAGGAAATAGTTTCTAGTTTTTTCTTGTTTGTTTGTTTTGGGGAAGGGTATTAAGAAATTTAATATGCATTTGGACAGAGAGGTAAAGTGAACACACAGGAATGAAATTAGAATGACAGAACTGATTAAAAATGTTTCCTGGCTGTCCTTCAACTTTTCAATAGTGTTGTTACATTGTTTTATAATAAGGGAAGGAAAGAAAGATGGTAGTAAAGTCCTCTGAAGACCCAAATAAAATCAACAAACCCAGCAGGTTACCACTGAGCTGCAGGTTTGGAAATTCTTTACAAAAAAAGATATACTATTTACTATGAAAAACTGAGCATCATACTGGAAAGAAAGAAGGCTAAGTTCTAAGCTAGTGAGAATATGAGTTAGCTAGAATTTTAAGGAGGATTTGGGGTGGGGTACTAGAGATTGAATCCAGGGAAGCTTTACTACTGAAATATTATCTCCATCCCTTTTAATTTCTTAATTTTCAGACAAGGTCTCACTAAATTGCCCAGGCTGGCTTTGAATTTGCAATCCTCCTGACATAGCTTCCCCAATAGCTGGGATTACAGATGCCACTGTGCCAGCCTTAAGGTAGATTTAAAAGGAAGAGAATGAAGTCTGGGTTGGATTTCCAAGGGCTTTGCATATGCTAGGCAAGTGCTCTACCACCGAGCTATAGGCCAGCTACAGGGTTAGAGTTTCTTTTACAAATCAATTTTCAAGAAGGCCCAGGAGACCTTGGAGGGTCTCCAGGCTCAGCTCCTTGTTACTAGTGCAGGTGCTCCTGCTGTGCACACACCAAACATTTCCTGTCCTGACTCCTCTGGACTGCCCTTTCACCTCCCCAGCCCATACCTTTGAAACCCAATCTTCCACCTAAGGAATCGCAGCAAGAAGGAGGGGGACAGAGAGGCAGCAACTTAATACACAGGACTTCTGACTGGCTCCAACCAGGAGCCATCTTGAACACATCATTTAATGTCCTATATGCCTGCCCCGGATCTATGTAGATGTAGCTTCCTTCATGGAAGAAAGCCCAATTCCCTTACTTTTCTTGTCTCCCTGCTTTCCCTCTCTAGCTAAGATCTGACATACTAATATTACTCTTTTCTTTTCTTTCTTAAGTCTACCATTGAGCTACACCCCCAGTCTTCTGCTATCCCTCTTGTACAGTTAAGGCCCTATGCCTCTTCAATCTTTGTCCAGTTCAACCTCTCCCTCCAAGATAGGCCTGGGGAATTCTTCTCTGAGCAGAAGTGGGTCGGGAACTTTGAGAAGTGAAAAATAGAAATAAAAGAAAGAACAAAGTAAAAGTGGGACCAAATATGATATAAAGATGGGGTTAGTAGAGAAAAGTAAGGAAAATGTGCAACTAGATTTTCCTAAATCCAAGGGACCACCAAGGATTTGGGTATCATAAGGGATCTGGCCTCAAAAGTTCTCTTCATCTCTTCTTTGCATTCTTACCTGTTTGTGAACCTTTGTAAGTTGTTCCAGGTTGTTCTCAAGAAAGGAAATTTTCTGTTTTTGGGAGTGAATCCCCCCACTGTCCTCGGGCTCCATTTCTGCACTCTGCTTAGAGATGGAGAGAAAGATATGGCTGTCATGAGGCTAACCAGGTCCCAACTAGGTCAGGCCAAGCAAGTTCCATAGGGAACAGCAGGGCCACAGAAGCCTGAGGTGGGGAGGAATATATGGGGCTGGTAAGATGTGGAGGATCTCACTCACTTTCTTGACTCGAGTCGTGACGTCTTGAACGAACAGCTTGCGAAGGTTGTGGAGGGTCTGGAGTTCCCGGGCCTGGAAAAAATGATGGAAAATTGGGGATAGCCAGATACCAGGTCTGCCTACACCCTCCAAAACTATTGGAAACTTCAGTCTATACAGTGAAGTGTCACTCATCCCTTAGGAAAAGATGTGTCCTGATCATGCCACAAACTAACTACAAAGGAGAAAGAGCAATGTGGTGAGGAAGAAATTGATGTAGGGGATGCAGCCCTCCCTACCCTGTTAACTTGGTACAGAAGGAAACCACTCACAACTGTCTCCTCCAGACCTTTGAGGTCCTGCTTAGACTGCTCATGTCGCTCGTACAGAAATCTGCAGCAAAAGAAAAGGAGAAGTTAGAAAACAGAAAAATCCTTCAGGACTCCTCCTCCTCTCACCTTCCTACTCCCCATTCCTTTTATCTCTATTTTACTATTATTTATTACATAAGTTGCTCATGTTTACTCTGCAAAAATCAGAAAAGAATTTTAGAAGAGAGTTATGAGGAGTTTTTATAAAAAGCCTTGATTCTACCACTTACAGAGGAAACGCCTGGTATCCATCTTTGCATACTATTTTAAATAAAAAAATTATTTTGAATAATTATTAAATAAAAATATCAAATATCAATATAAAATAAAATATTAAATAAAAATTATTTTGTGGGGCTGCACTTGTAGCTCAGTGGTAGAGTGCTTGCCTAGCATGTGTGAGGCTCTGGGTTCCATCCTCAGTACCACATAAAAATAAATAAATGTATCTATTTCTAACTAAAAAATAAAATCACTATAAAAATTTTTTTTCGTACTAGATACTTATTAGATAGAGGGTTCCAGGGGCCCTCTATCACTGAGCTGCACCTCTAACCCTTTTTATTTTAGGATAAGTTCCCACTAAGTTGCCCAGGCTGGCCTTAAACTTGCCATCCTCCTGCCTTAGCCTCCCAAGTAGCTTGGCTCCCTGCTTATATACTATTTTTTCTAGGCATATATATCCATATAAATTTTTATGAGATTAGATCATTCAAACTGCTTTGTAACCTGATTTTCACACTTAACAGAACACTTCAAGCCACTTTCCATCCATGTCAGGTTATCCACAGCAGTTGTCATTTTTGGTGGTCTCCATTTTTCTAAACCTTCCCCACCCCATCATATTTGCTTCTTGTGAGTCACTGCATCACATCTATGTGTGTGTCCTGCCTCTGCAAATGCATCTGAGCAGTTAAGAGCCTACATGGCCACTGGCCTGCCAGCAAACTCCTCACTCACGTCAGCTCCTGAAGCTTGGTGCTCTTCTCATGTTCTTCATTCTTCAGCTTCTCATAGTCAGCCTGAAGTTTCTCCAGCTCTAACTGGAGCTTCTGATTCAGGCTACAGAGGGTCAGGGACATTGGAGAGAAAAAGAGATGTTAATGAACAAGAAGGAAAGACCAGCCCCTCAAACATGTGCTTTCTTCTTACATGAGGGAGTCCAGTTAAAACTAATGCATCTATCTTCAGATATCAGGGGCAGACACAGGTCATACTTCCATGACAGTAAAGAACCCTGAGCTATCTAATAAGGCCAAAAAGGATAGGAATTAGTCTTTAATGCTTCTATCTTCTGAATTTGGGCTGTGAAGTTATATGATTGTTGAGGGAATGACACATGGAATTTAAAAAACCTGGGGCTGGGACTGTAGCTCAGTGGTAGAGCACTTGCCTAGCATGGGTGAGGCATGGTATTTGATCCTCAGTACCACATTAAAAGAAAATAAATACATAAAGTTATTTTAAAAATTAAGAAAAAAAAAAAAAGAAATTAAAGAACCTGATCCAGAAGGATCATTTGAGTAGGCACAACAAGGTAAGTGGGCCCAATGGAGACTGGAGCCACCCTCAGGGATCCTTACTCTTTAAGCTCATCAATAGTCTTCTGCTTTTCATTGATCTCATCCCTGAGCCGGGCCAGCTGCCGGTGATGGGCCTCCCGGTGACTTTCCATCTGCAGCTCCAAGGCCTTCTGCAAACAACCCCACCCCATGCTCAAGAGTCAGACTCCCAGACATGAGTTTCATGAGGGCCAGCACAGCCCTGGCCCTGCCAAGCCCCAGTTGCCCCCCACCCTCCCCACTCACCTTCACTTCATCTGCATCCTGAGTGTCCGGCTCCTTGTCCTTCAAAGCCACTTCATTAACAGTTTCTAAGGGGAAAAGGGGAAGATAGCTTCCATCAAAACTACCTCCTTCAGAAAAAAATTTATGTTGTGACCAGCATTCCAGGCAGGTTAGGGGATGGACCCACAGGGAAGTTCTTCTGGTTAGGACAGTCCAATTTGATACAGCAGGGACAGAAAACAAGGGAGGGTATATGATGCTCATAAAATGACCTATATGCAAAAGCCTGACTAAATAATATATGCGTTCAGGCTGATGCTTTGGGTGAGTGGTTGCTGGGTGGTTTCTTCTGATGTGTGCGACCTTCCCTCCCTGACCCTTTGGAATCTCAGATTCCAGGATGGCTATGATACAGGTCTAAGAAGGCTTTACCCTGAGCCTGGAGCTTGGCCAATTCATCACTCAAGGAGTCATAGGACTCTTCCAGGTGTCGCTTCTTCATCTCCACACTCTGCATGTATTCCGTTAGTGAGCGGATCTTAGCCTCATGCTGGTAGAAGAAGGATGGGGAGAGAAAGGAAACAATGGAGCAAAGCACACAACTTAGGCAGCACCAACTTCCATAAACTCATGCTCTACTGCCAAGTCCTCCTTTCCTGCTGCACCTTCCATGTGGATGTAGGGCTGGGAGCCATTCCCATGGAGACTCTTCCTTCAGAGCCTCAGCTCAGAAAGCAATACCGCCTGAGTCTCTGCTTCTTGACCCCGGATCCTACTCCCTGCCACCCAGCTCTTCTGTTCTTGACTTCCATAGAATGCTGATACTAAGGTGAGTGTTAGGAGTTTTACCTATAACCACATAATATCCTTCTCTCTCCTACATCATCTAAGGGTTCTCAATCTCAGGTAGTCACCTGTGAGATGAGGAGCTGGCAGGATGAGAGCTCCCTCCCAGTCACTTCCATCTTGCGATGACATTCCACCTGGAGGTTCTCTAGCTGCCGACACCGCTTGACTACAGATTTGACCTCCGACTTGATTTTGCTAATGTAGAGTCTGGCCACGGTGAACTCTTCCTCGATGGCCCCACTGATCTCCACCGGCTGAGGGTGGGCAGAGGAGGAAGAGATGCTTCCCTGCAGTAGAGAAGCCTTTACCCGCTCCCTTCCACCTTCTGCACAAATCCACATGCCCAGGGATTCAAGTAGGACAAATATTTCCCAAGGACCTTTACCAGCTATCCTGGTATTTCACACTAAGGCCCTCTATCTACATTTAAAGATAATCCCCCTCTTCCACCTTAAAAAGCAATATGATTTTCTGTTTCTTCCTTTCCATTTATTTATTTTATTTTGAGGCAAGATATCATCATGTTGTCCAGGCTAGTCTTAAATTCCTGGACTCAAATGATCCTCTTTCCTCAGCCTCCCAAGTAGCTGGGACTACTGACACCACCATACCCAGCTTGATTTTTTTTTTTTTTTTTTGTAGACCAACTGATCCACTTGATTACTCAGGTAAGTCTTCTCACTGCACAGATTTGCATATGTCATTCCTAACTCTGTGTCCCACTTCTTGATCCTGCCACTGGCACACCTCACTTGTTTGTTTGCACCCATTAGAATGCATCTTTTCAGTGGAGGCTATGCAAACCTCTATTATTTTCCTGAGTCTAGACTGACGGCATCACATTTCTAGGCAATTTGGGCCACCTTTTTCAGTGTCTCAGAGGGTCTGGATTGTCCCACCAGTGCCCAGTGCAAAAATGACCTGAACTAGACTGCTGTCTCTCCCCACTCACCAGCTTAATCTCCCCGTTGCCCACGATGACACTGAACTCACTCAGGTCCTTCATCAGCCCATTCAGCACTTCAGCAATTCGTTTTCGCTGGTGTCCACTGACCTCCTGGAGCCGCTGCAATTCAGACTCCAGGGACAACATGGTGGCCTGGGGACAGCCCCTCAGGTCATTCCCATTGCCATCTTCCTTCTTCCCTCCCCAGTCCAGACAGAGGCTCTCATTTCAGCATGGCAAAGCACAGTGCATGGTGAGGGAGGGTCATAATACACTGAACAGCACTAGAGAGATACAAACACCACATAGCCCAAAAAGACTCAGAGGTCCCCTTGGACATGGAAGGTGTTCTGAGGTCAGGGAGCCCTTGGACCACTCGTAGGCCACTCACCACCTTCTGGGACAGCTCGTCCACTAGCAGCTGATTCTGCTGGCTCTTTTCCTCTACCTCCTGGGACTTCTGGTCATAGTTTACAGCCAGCTCCTCCAGGGCCTGCAGCACTTCTTTCACCTCATCCTTCGCAGCGTCATTCTCTGACTGCAGGTGACTCAGCTCCCGCTGGACCTTCTCATTGTCTCCTCGAGTGGACACCAGCAGCTTCAAAGAAGAGGAGAGGCATGTAAAGGAGCATGTAGTCAATGATCACTTCCATGGGCCCTGGGCCTGGGGGAGCCAAGACCCCCCACAAAGCAAAAGTCAAAAGGAAGTAGGCATTACATTTCACAGAAATTGGGAAACAAAACAAAATAAAGAAGGACCTGGGGGCTGTGGCTGTGGCTCAGTGGCTGAGCGCTTGCCTCACATGCACGAGGCACTGGGTTCGATCCTCAGCACCACATACAAAAATATAATAAAACAAAGATATTGTGTCCATCTACAACTAAAATAATAATAATAATAAAAAAGACGGATCTAGACTCCAACAGCAGTGCTTTAGTAACAGCTCAATGAAGTTCTCAGACTGCTATAGTTTGGGGTGACTAGCCCCTAATAAGAATGGCCCTTCTTCCATCTGATTTTAAAGAGGCCTTTTTCACACTTTTCAAGGATGAACATAAACCCCTTCCCTTTAGTGTTTTGCCCTAAATTGTCTTCCAATACCTCCTCCTGGTCCAGCATTTGCTGCTTGAGTTTCTCGATGAGTTGGCTCTGCTGGTTGATCTCATCGTCCTGTTGGAAGCAAGGGGAGACAGTAAGGGAAGCCACTCCCTCCAGTTTAGAGTTCTGGGACTTTGTGAGAGAGGTAGGATCCCAGTAAAATTCCAGGTAGTTTAGGCTTTGATTTAGAAAGCTCATGTGCTTAAAAGAGGTCTTTTCCTTGACTTCTTTCCCTGACCCCAGCACTCTCTAAATTCTTTTCTTCCAGGAAGTTGATATAACCTTGATAATACACAGCAAAAATCTTTAAATGTTCACATTTAAAAAAAATATTTTTTAGGGGGCTGGGGTTGTGGCTCAGTGGTAGAGCACTTGTCTTGCATATGTGAGGCACTGGGTTTGATTCTCAGCCCCACATATAAATAAATAAAATAAAGGTCCATTGACAACTAAAAAATATTAAAATATATATATTTTAGTTGTAGATGGACACAGTATCTTTATTTTAGTTCTATGTGGTGCTAAGAATCAAACCCAGTGCCTCACATGCACTAGGCAAGCACTCTACCACTGAGCCACAACCCGAGCTTCAAATGTTCACATCTTTTTTTTTTTATTTTTTTTTTTAGCTGTTGATGGACCTTTATTTTATTTATTTATAGTGATGCTGAGAATTGAACCCAGTGCCTCACACATGCTAGGCAAGTGCTCTTCCACTGAACTATAACCCCAGCCCCAAATGTTCATATCTTTTAAGAAATCTCATTCTAGCACTCCTTTCTTTCTTTTTTTAAAAAAATATTTTATCAGTTGTTGGTGGCCCTTTATTTATTTTTATGTAGTGCTGAGAATCAAACCCAGTGCCTCACACATGCCAGGCAAGCACTCTACCACTGAGCCACAACCCCAGCCCCACCTTAGCACTCCTTTCTAACCAAATCATTCAAACAAAATCTTGTGCAGAAGAGGCAAAGATAGTCATTTCAGAGTTATTATTAATAGGAAAAAAAACCCTACAAGCCCTGTAATAAGTGAATTGTTAAATAAGTGGACCCCTAGGCAGTAATTTAAAAATACTTTTAACTGTGCATGGTGGCCCACACCATAATCCCGGCAGCTCAGGAGGCTGAGGCAGGAGGATTGCAAGTTCAAGGCCAGACTCAGTAACTTAGCAAGGCCCTAAACAACTCATTGAGACCCTGTCTCAAAATTTAAAAAAAAGGGATGGGGATGTGGCTCAGTAATAAAGCACCCCTGGGTTTAATTCTTTTTATGAAGAATTATTAATTGAGTAAAAATGCTCATAATAGAACACTAAATGAAAAAAATTAGATGTAAAATTACAATATATCTCAAGTGTATGATATATCCATAGAGGAAACCAAAATGTTAGCAGTATTATTTCTAAATAGTGGGGTGATGGATGGTAATAATTTTCTTCTGTATATTTTTATTTATTTTCCACATTTCAAAAATGAGCATTTATCCCTTTTAAAATCAGAAAAAAAGGCAGTATAAGCTAAAATTTTAAATCTCGTGCCTCTTATCTAACTGTGCCCTGCCCGGCTGCCCTTACCTTGTCATCAAGCTGCTTATATAGGCGGCGGATCTCCTCCTCATATTTCTGCCGCTCCTCAGGTGCGATACGCACCACAATGGATGAGTTGTCATTCACAGGGGTCTCCTCACAGAGCTCGGCCCCCAGGGCTGCATCCTCCCCAGCCAGACGCTCTGTCTCAGGCACATTCTCTCCTGGCAGAGGGGCAGAAGAAGGGGGGTAAATGGGAGAAGAGAAAGCTACCTGCACAAGTCTTTCCCCCCTCACTCCAAGTCCTTATCTCTTTCCTGCAGGAGCTGCAGGGGACAGTCCATGCCCTCACTCCCTTCCCTCATGACTGCTGCACTGCACTCTTCCAGAAATACAGCCCTCCTTCCTGAAGGCAGCCTGGCCCTAAACACAGCCAAGCAGGGCTGTCCCTCCCACTGCCTCTCATTCCCACGGGATCTCCATCTAACCAGGATCGCCATCTAACCATTGCGCCAGCGGCTCAGCTCAGCCTCCAGCTTTGCAATTGTTTCCTTCTGGGCCTTGGTCTTCTCCTTCTCCTTCTCATATTTCTTCTTCCACTGCTCGGCAGTCAACTCCAGATTTACTGAGGCAGTGTTCTTAATGGTCTTTGCCCTGGATGAAGAGAATAAGAAAGCGATGAAACCTGTGTTAGGCTTGGGTGACACCTGAGGGACAGAGCCTCAGGGTCTGGAGAGGGACCTGGCTCCCAGTGTCCCTCTAGGGACTCTGCCACTGACCGCTGTCCAAACATCAGTGTAGACTTGGTCTCTGCATCATTGTAACTGGATGGTGAGCAGCAGATGAACATAGTTGTACGGCAGTTTCCTCCCAGAGAGTCCTGAAGAATCCGTGTCATTTTGCTATCACGATATGGAACGTAGCTTTTCTGGGAGAGAATGGAGGCCATGACTTAGAAAAATAAATTCAAATGGAAATCAAAAGAACAATAGTGCTGCCTAAGGATTAAGCAACCTACAAGTTGGGGCATAATTAAAGAGGGACACTGGGAGAAGGTGTAGTTGGGGTGAAGGGGACTTAGGAAACACTTACAGTGCCCTCTGCTAATGCAGAGATCACATTCCCCAGGGCAGACAGCGACTTGTTGATATTCTTTGCCTCATCCAGCACAGCTCCCTCTGCTCCAGTCTTGCTAACCTGCCAGGGTATTAGGAGACAAGTGTATCAGGAGCAGCTACAAAGACTGTCACAGTCTCTTTTCTACTTGGGGACCCAGTCCAAAAATGGGGGGAGGGAATGGAGAAGAGGACAAGTAAGAGGTATTAGCCAGAATCAGGGAAGGCCTTTCCTCCATTCTACTATACTCTCTTGCCAAAGGCCACTCCCATTGCCATATTATATAATTCCATTTATTTGAAATATTCAGGACAGGCAAATCTACAGAGAACAGATAAGTGGCTGCCAGAAAATGGACAGAGGGGAGAATGGGAAGTTACTATTAATGGGTGATAAAAATGTTCTGGAATTAGACAGTGGTAATGGTTATACAACCTTGTGAACACACTAAACCCACTAAATTGTACACTCTAAAATGGTGAACTTTCTGATTATGAATATCTCAATTTTTAAAAAAAATTTTAGTTGTAGATGAACACAATACCTTTATTTTATTTATTTTTTTGTGGTGCTGAGGATTGAACCAGTGCCTCACATATGTTAAGCCAGTGTTCTACCACTGAGCCACAACCCCAGCCCTGAATATCTCAATTTTAAAGGTTTTTGTTTTGCTTTGTTTTTTGGTACTAGAGAGTTAATCCAGGGGCACTTAACCACTGAGCAACATTCCTAGCCCTTTTTATTTTGAGGCAGGTTCTCACTAAGTTGCCCTGTTAACCACTGAGCCACATCACAGTCTATTTTTACTTTTTATTTTGAGACAGAGTCTCACTGCATTGCTTAGGGCCTTGCTAAGTTGCTGAAGCTGGCCTTGAACTTGTGATCCTCCTGTCTTGGCCTCCCAAGTCACTGAGATTACAGGCGTGTGCCACCACACTAATCTTAAAAAAAAAAAAAAATTCTTTTAATTATAAAACAAGTAACCTCCCCACAAGGCTTTCTTTCACCAACCCATAGGACCCCTAACCTTCTCACTCCCAGCCAGGTCCACGAGATACAACTTCCCACTGAGCTTCTGCTCAGTCTCCATGTTCTCCTGCTTGATGTTGATGAGGAAGATGCTGTGGCTTCGAGAGCTGTGTTCATTCATGTCTGTAGAGGAGAAATGTGACAGGTATCAACCCCTGTGAACCTGCACCCCTCAATCCCAGCTGCTACTGGCTGCCATTCCCACCCATTGAAAGAGAAGGGACCTGCCAGGACCAACCCTGACATTTCATCTCCCAGGCAGTGGATGCACAGGCAAGGGGCCCCTCTGCTGAAGGACAATGTCCTCCCTTGCTTGCTTGTTGCCTAGGGGACACAGAAGAGAGGGAGGCCCCTAGATTCAAGAACCCTTTAGATCCCTACTCACTGGTGACAGCAACATGACGATTTGATTTTCCCTCATCAATCACATCCAAAATCTCCTCTGGGCTGGACACAAAGCGTTCAGTACAGCCCTGCAGGGAGCAAATAGACAGTGACCTATAAACTCTGATCTGCAAATTAATTTGCCTGAACACTTTCCAAGCGACCTTTTAAGATGCTGCCTTTTTTCCAGGTGCATTGGCATATGCCTCAGCTTGGGAGGCTGAGGCAGGAGGATCATGAGTTCAAAGCCCGCTGCAGCAAAAGAGAGGTGCTAAGAAACTCAGTGAGACCCTGTCTCTAAATAAAATACAAAATAGGGCTGGGGATGTGGCTCAGTGGTCAAGTGCCCCTGAGTTCAATCCCTGGTACCCCCACCCTCCCAGTAAAAAAAAAAAAACTCAAACAGATGCTGTCTTTTGGGCTAGGGATGTAGCTTAGCAGTTGAGTACTTGTCTACTTGTCTAACATGTGCAAGGCCCTGGGTTTGATCCCTGGAGACAAAAGAAAAGTCATCGTTTCCAAGCACCCTGACTCTCATAGGCCCCTTAGCATATCTTGCCCCTTTATAACTTCTGGGTCATTGGCCCACCCTCTTCCCTCATCCCATTCTGGATACACTGACTCCACACCAGTGTCTCGCCCACTCTCACCTTGACAAATGGGACCCGGTTCTTGTCCTCATGCACAGAAAGGTTTGTCTTGGTCACTGAATCAAGATAATGCAGAGTGAGTAAAACCAGCATTTCCACCCTACCCCTCTGCACCCTGTAGTCAACTTGGATGGTGGTTTCTTCTATGTGCTAAATGGAGGAGGGCTTCCCAATGAAGCCTAAACTCCATGTTCCCACTGAAGGCTCAATTCCTCCTCCTTTCCTTCCTCCTTGTCTTCCTCAGGGCTCCAGCAGCAGGGTTCCATCTCCTCTTGAGCTGTGTACATGTAAACTCTAAGCTCATCTTCTGAGCCTCTAAGTTTTTGGAAATTCTTGGTGAGGGAAGCTAAAGGACTCAGGTGTGAAGATGTGTATTYTGTATGCCAAATGGCACCAATCCCCACAGCAAGCTGATCTTCCTTTCCTCACCCTCCTCACACACTCTAACCCAGTGAAGTTAAACACTTACCATCCAGAAGGTCACGAATTTTATCCAGGTAAATCTCAAAATAAGAGACCTGGTTTGGGAGAAAGGAGTATGAATTAAAGAGGGCTTATCTTAAATCTAATGTGGGAATTCCAAACTAATGTGACCTGCTCAAAGGATAGTGGTGGGTAGGAAGAACAGAAAAGAATATCTTAGTGGAGGTAACCAGAGGGGGAGAGTAACATTGGGGAGCCCAGGATCTTCAGCAGGTTCACTCTAGATTTTCTCCTCCCAGTCCCCATCTGAAGATACCCAGCTGTCATGCCCTGATCACCTTGATGTGGAACTCAAGGTTCTCATCCATGGAGTAGATGTGGTTGAAGATGTCTCGGGCAATCCGGGGAATGATTCCCATCAGCTGAGGGTCATGTAGCTTTCCCTGGGGAGTAAGGATATTCCAGCATGAGACTGAGACTCAAGAAGGATGAGACAACTTCAGGTATACAAGTGAACACAAAGGTAAGAGGTGATAGGAAGAGCATCCTAAGGTAGGAGGTGGTTACCACCATGTCTACCTTTTAGTGGAAGGAGATAACTGAGCAGCCCTTTGGACTTCCACTGCTGCTACTTTTGCAGATCAAAAGACAACTAGAGCAGCAGGAAGGAGCAAAACTGCAGCAGATTGAAAGGATCCATTAAACTTCCCTTAAAATATTGCCTCTCAGCTCATCCTGTGTACCCATCTGCATCTAAACCAGGCAACCTTTGATTCCTAGATCTTCCCTCACTGAAAGTCCTTGATCTGCCACTTGCATTCCTAGCTCCTTATTCCAACAAAGTCAGAACCCTCACCTCCATGGTATGTGTTTTCCCTGAGGATGTCTGTCCATAAGCAAAAATGGTGCCATTGTAGCCAGCAAGGACATCTGGAAGAGATGGTGGATAAACATATAGGTGGAGATAAGTGAGGCAGGGAATGAGAAGCCTGAGAAAATACATTCTAAAAAGACATCCATTACCTTTGACAATCTGCATGGCACATGCATGATAAACTTGCTCTTGAGTCGTGTTTGGGGGGAACACACGGTCAAAGACATATGGCTTCCCCTGGAATGAAAATAAGAAATGTTGGCCATCAGTAGGAAAAGTGGAAGGGAGAAGAAATGCACAGACCCATCCATCAGCCTAATAAAGGCACCCCATTCTTCAATCCTCCAAATACATGGAAAATATAGGGGACAAGAGAAATTGGAGAGAGAAGTAAACTGCAGAAGTGAAGAACAATTCATTAACAATAAAAAGCACCTCGAAGTTTTAAAATATCTTCCTCAATAAACCCATTTGTTGGGGCTCCTGTTGTAGCTCAGTGGTACAGCACTTGCCTAGCACATGTGAGGCACTGGGTTCAATTCTCAGCATCACATACAAAAGAATAAATAAAAATAAAGGTTCATCAACAACTAAAAATAATTTTAAAAATTAAATAAACCCATTTGTCTTAATATGGAAAGGTCTTCAAGATAAATTAAGTGAAAGATACAAAGTTAGCAGCCTAGGCAAAACATGTTCCCTACAATTTAAATGAAACATATACTCAGAGTTCTTGGGAAAACATTAATACAAGTTCTGTCTTGTGAAAAGAATATATGAAATCAGACATATAGGTCTCTTTGGGGCTGGAGTTGTAGCTCAGCGGTAGAGTGCTTGCCTCATATGTGTGAGGCACTGAGTTTGATTCCTAGCACCACATATAAATAAGCAAAAAAAAAAAAAAAGTCCATCAACAACTAAAAAATTTAAAAAAAAAAAAAGAAATATGGGTCTCCCTTTAAAAAGGGAATCAGGGGCTAGAGTGTGGCTCAGTAGTAGAGTACCTGCAAAGCATGCATGAGGCCCTGGGTTCAGTCTCCAGCACTGCAATGTAAAAGTGTAGAAGCAAATCATTCAGACCCACAAGTACTTTGTTTAATTTAGGTAATATGTTTCAAGTTATATGTACTGATAAGAAAACTAATATATATATATATATATATATATATATACATATATATAAAATATATAGAACACATATGTATATATAGAATATATAGGAGATAGATTCATTTATTTATTTATTTATACTTATATGTACTTTTTTTTTTTTGTACCAGGGATTGAACCCAAAGGAGCTTAAGCACTGAGACACATCTCCAGTCCTGTACATTTTTTCTATTTTGAGACAGTGTCTCACTAAGTTGCTTAGGGCCTCACTAAGTTGATGAGGCTACTGAGGCTGGATCCTCCTGCCTTAACCTCCAGAGCTGCTGGAACTACAGGTGTTTGCCCTGGCTAAGATACAAACTATTTAAAACTCAGGAAACTAAACAAAAAAAAATTATTTGACATCTAATCATGTTAAAAGTCAGATCCTTGCTTAAATTAAATAAGATTATGTTTTTTCTCCAAGTGACAAATTTCCCAGTAGTGTTTACCTGCTAGTCAGTACAAAGAGACTATAACTTACATGTCAAATTGTATAACTAGAGTTCATCTTTATCCAACTGAAATATAAAGCTCTAGATCTATAGACACCAGAGTTTGGGAGAAATGTTTTAACAAATTAAGGAAGGCCATAAATTTTAGCTAAAGCTGAACATGAGACTCTAGGTTTATATTCCATCAATATACACAGAATTTTTTTCCTAGAAGAAATTATGCAAAAATCTTGACAGTGTTTACTGTGGAGAGAAACTGGGAGAAAGAGTTTCTGTTTTTCATTGAGTATCCTGTAGTTTACATTTTTTTAACCATTTAAAAGTATTATATTCAAGATTTTTTAATGTCAAAGATGATGAGAAAATAGTACAATCATTTGTTTTCTTCTTTGAAAGTTTTGTTTTGAGACAGGGTTTTACTAGGTTGCCCAGGGTGGCCTCAAATTTGTGATGCTCCTCCTTAAGTGTCCTTAGTAAACTGGGATTACAGGTATGTGCCACTGTGCCGAGCATAATAAATGTTACTTTATAAATGTTAAAAAAATAAACCTGGCTTCTGGAAAAAAAATCAGCCAGAAATATGTATATGTCCTCTTAGTAGTGAAAGCTCTAAGACCCAAGAAACAGCTGGGTGTAGTGGTAGAACACTTGCCTAGCATACACAAGGCCCTGGGTTGGATCCCCAACACCATCAAAAAAAAAAAAAAAAAAAAAAGATTAAAGCCCAAGAAATAGTATCCACAAAGGAAAAGATGTTGGAAAGGCACTCTTTTTAAAGAAGGAAGTGCTATAAACTGATAAACTGACAGCACCTTTCTGAAGAATCATTCTATTAAATTCCTAAACATCCAGACTGTTCATACTCTCTACCAGGATTCTAGCGCTGAGAACACATTTTATAAAACACTTGGCAAAGCACTTAAAGTTGGATATAAAAGAATGTTCACTGGAGTGGTTGGAGTTAGAGAAAAACTGGGCCAAGCATAGTGGTACACATCTATAATCCCAATACCTGGAAAGCTATAGCAGTATGATTACAAGTTCAAGACCAGCCTGAGCAATTTACCAAGACCCTGTCTCAAAAATAAAAATAAAAAGCAGGTGTGGTGGCACACACTTGTAATCCCAGTGGCAGTAAACTGAGGCAGGAGGATTGCAAGTTCAAAGCCAGCCTCAGCAACTTAATGAGACCCTAAGCAACTTAGCAAGATTCTGTCTCAAAATAAAATATAAAAAGGGCTGGGAATGTAGCTCAGTGGTTAAGTGCCCCTGAGTTCAATCCCCAGTATAAAAAAATAATTAATTACTTAATAAAAAATAAAAAGGCCTAGGGGTGTTGTTCAGTGGTAGAACATTTGACAAGCAAGTGCAAGACTCTTTTTTTTTTTTTTTTAATTTTAATATTTATTTTTTAGTTCTTGGCGGACACAACATCTTTGTTGGTATGTGGTGCTGAGGATCGAACCCGGGCCGCACGCATGCCATGAGAGCGCGCTACCGCTTGAGCCACATCCCCAGCTCCTGCAAGACTCTTGAGTTCAATTCTTAGCACCACAAAAAAAGAAAGAAAGGAAGAAAGGGAGGGAGGAAGGAGAGGATGAAAGAGGAATAGAGGGAGGGAGGAAGGGTAGAAAGGGAGGAAGGAAAAGTAACAGTAATTCAAATATCCATCAAGAGGCTGGAAGTGCTGGAGTTATGGCTCAGTAGTAGAGCACTCACCTGGCATGTGTGAGGCACTGGATTCTAGTCAGGTACAGCGGCACACACCCCAGCACCATATATAAGTAAATAAATAAAACAAAAACCTATCAACAACTTAAAAWATATATATATATATATATATACATATATGTGTGTATATATGTGTGTGTGTGTTATTTATTTATAAATAACAATCTTTTTATTTCTTTTTATGGTGCTTGGGATTGAACCCATGGTGGCCTTATGCATGCAAGGCAAGCATTCTACCAATTGAGCTATATCCCCAGCTCCAAAATAACAATCTTTTTTTTTTTTTTTTTTTAAAGAGAGAGTGAGAGAGGAGAGAGAGAGAGAGAGAGAGAGAGAGAGAGAGAGAGAATTTTTTTTTATTATTTATTTTTTAGCTCTCGGCGGACACAACATCTTTGTTGGTATGTGGTGCTGAGGATCGAACCCGGGTCGCACGCATGCCAGGCGAGCGCGCTACCGCTTGAGCCACATCCCCAGCCCCAAAATAACAATCTTTAAAAAAAATAAATAAATAAAAGGAAAAGGCTGGAGACAAGGTCAGGGGTGCAAACCTGTAATTCCAGTGACTCAGGAGGCTGAGACAGGAGGACCACAAGTTCAAGACCAGCCTCAGCAATTTGGTGAGACCTTAAGCAACTTAGCAAGATCCTGTTTCAAAACCAAAACCAAACAACAACAAAGACAGCTGGGGGTGTAACTCAGTGGTGAAGTGCCACTAAGTGTTCAATCCCCAGTACAAAAAGAAATTTTATTTAAAGAAGAGAATAGAGTGTGGCTCAGTTGTAGAGCATGTGTTTAGCATGTATAAGGAGTTTGAGTGGGATTGAGTCAGGTATAGTGGCAAACACCCCAGTGACTCACAAGGCTCAGAAAGGAGGATGGCAAGTTAGAGGCCAGCCTGGGCAACTTGGCAAAACCTTGTCTCAAAATTAAAAATAAAAAGGACTTAGGGTGTGGCTTAGTGGTAGACTACCCCTGGATTCAGTCCTCATTACCACACACACAAAAATACTTGTGCAACTCAAGAACTGCTATCATAAATATATCATAAATTGATGTTATGCCAGGTGCAGTGGCCCAGTAGCTTGGGAGGCTGAGGCTGGAGGATTGTGAGTTCAAAGCCAGCCTCAGCAACTTAGCAAGTCCCTAAGCAACCCAGCAAGACCTTGACTCTAAATAAATTATTAAAAAAGGGCTGGGGATGTGGTTTAGTGGTTAAGTGCCTCTGGATTCAATCCCCAATACTAAAAAATAAAAAATAAATTGATGTTTTGATGGCTCCTAAATATATGAATCCATGCTCAACCTCACTGTCAAGCCAAACATATATTAAAACTATGAAACAGTTTTTTTTTAATCTATCAAAGTGGTCATAGTAAAATATTTGGCAATATACCTCACTGGTGAAAATTTGAGTAAACAGATATTTGCTCATACTGCTGGAAATAAAGATAGGACAGGCAAGTTGGAAATAGTTCTTACATTTTTAAGTACATACACTTTATGACTTCCACTTTTAAAAATGTATCCTATATACTCACTGCACATATGCCCCGCTGCACCCCATTCAATTGTTTATAATGGCAAATTATTAGAACAATCCTAAAAGCACATCAATAGGGGAGCTGGGCATGATGGTGCATGCCTATAATCCCAGTGGCTCAGGAGGCTGAGGCAGGAGGATTGCAAGTTCAAAGCCAGCCTCAGCACCTTATTGAGGCATAAAACAATTTAACGAGACCCTATCTCAAAATAAAAAACAAAAAGGGCTAAGGATGTGGGACTGGGGTTGTGGCTCAGCGGTAGAGTGCTTGCCTGGCACGTGTGAGGCACTGGGTTTGATCCTCAGCACCACATAAAAATAAATAAAGGTACTGTGTCCATCTACAACTAAAAAAAAA